ACCAGAATGGGGGCCAGGGGGAAGAGGCGCAGCCGCCACGCTTATCCTCAACCAGAATAATTAGGGGGCAGGGGGTACAGCCGCCACGCTTATCCGGTGCCAGGCGAAGAGGTGCAGCCGCCACGCTTATCCTCAACCAGAATGACGCTTATCCGGTGCCAGGCGAAGAGGTGCAGCCGCCACGCTTATCCTCAACCAGAATGGGGGCCAGGGGCAAAAAGGCGCAGCCGCCACGCTTATCCTCAACCAGAATAGGGGCCAGGGGGTACAGCCGCCACGCTTATCCGGTGCCAGGCGAAGAGGTGCAGCCGCCACGCTTATCCTTAACCAGAATGGGGGCCAGGGGGAAGAGGCGCAGCCGCCACGCTTATCCTCAACCAGATATAGGGGCCAGGGGGTACAGCCGCCACGCTTATCCGGTGCCAGGCGAAGAGGTGCAGCCGCCACGCTTATCCTCAACCAGATAGAGGCGCAGCCGCCACGCTTATCCTCAACCAGAATAGGGGCCAGGGGGTACAGCCGCCACGCTTATCCGGTGCCAGGCGAAGAGGTGCAGCCGCCACGTTTATCCTCAACCAGAATGGGGGTCAGGGGGAAGAGGCGCAGCCGCCACGCTTATCCTCGACCAGAATAGCAGCCGCCACGCTTATCCGGTGCCAGGCGAAGACAGCCGCCACGCTTATCCTCAACCAGAATGGGGGCCAGGGGGAAGAGGCGCAGCCGCCACGCTTATCCTCAACCAGAATAGGGGCCAGGGGGTACAGCCGCCACGCTTATCCGGTGCCAGGCGAAGAGGTGCAGCCGCCACGCTTATCCTCAACCAGAATGGGGGACAGGGGGAAGAGGCGCAGCCGCCACGCTTATCCTCAACCAGAATAAGGACCAGGGGGTACAGCCGCCACGCTTATCCGGTGCCAGGCGAAGAGGTGCAGCCGCCACGCTTATCCTCAACCAGAATGGGGGCCAGGGGGAAGAGGCGCAGCCGCCACGCTTATCCAGAATAGGGGCCAGGGGGTACAGCCGCCACGCTTATCCGGCGCCAGGCGAAGAGCTGCAGCCGCCACGCTTATCCTCAACCAGAATGGGGGCAGGGGGAAGAGGCGCAGCCGCCACGCTTATCCTCAACCAGAATAGGGGCCAGGGGGTACAGCCGCCACGCTTATCCGGTGCCAGGCGAAGAGGTGCAGCCGCCACGCTTATCCTCAACCAGAATGGGGGCCAGGGGGAAGAGGCGCAGCCGCCACGCTTATCCTCAACCAGAATAGGGGCCAGGGGTACAGCCGCCACGCTTATCCGGTGCCAGGCGAAGAGGTGCAGCCGCCACGCTTATCCTCAACCAGAATGGGGGCCAGGGGGAAGAGGCGCAGCCGCCGCGCTTATCCTCAACCAGAATAGGGGCCAGGGGGAGAGGCGCAGCCGCCACGCTTATCCTCAACCAGAATAGGGGCCAGGGGGTACAGCCGCCACGCTTATCCGGTGCCAAGCGAATCCTCAACCAGAATGGGGGCCAGGGGGAAGAGGCGCAGCCGCCACGCTTATCCTCAACCAGAATAGGGGCCCAGGGGGTACAGCCGCCACGCTTATTCGGTGCCAGGCGAAGAGGTGCAGCCGCCACGCTTGTCCTCAACCAGAATGGGGGCCAGGGGGAAGAGGCGCAGCCGCCACGCTTATCCTCAACCAGAATAGGGGCCAGGGGGTACAGCCGCCACGCTTATCCGGTGCCAGGCGAAGAGGTGCAGCCGCCACGCTTATCCTCAACCAGAATGGGGGCCAGGGGGAAGAGGCGCAGCCGCCACGCTTATCCTCAACCAGAATAGGGGCCAGGGGGTACAGCCGCCACGCTTATCCGGTGCCAGGCGAAGAGGTGCAGCCGCCACGCTTATCCTCAACCAGAATGGGGGCCAGGGGGAAGAGGCGCAGCCGCCACGCTTATCCTCAACCAGAAGAGGGGCCAGAGGGTACAGCCGCCACGCTTATCCGGTGCCAGGCAAAGAGGTGCAGCCGCCACGCTTATCCTCAACCAGAATGGGGGCCAGGGGGAAGAGGCGCAGCCGCCACGCTTATCCTCAACCAGAATAGGGGTCAGGGGGTACAGCCGCCACGCTTATCCGGTGCCAGGCGACTCAAGCTGAACGAAGCTGGAGGCGGGGACGGGAGGGCTCGCACGAACAAGTGATTTGTCTATCCTCAACCAATATGGGGTCTCAGGTGTTCAGTCTCAAGCTGAACGAAGCTGGAGGCCGCCACGCTTATCCTCAAGTAGAAGGGGGGCGGGGGCGCCCATCCCCACAGCCCTTGTTCCCGAGGTCGGCATGTCTGAGGACGTGGGCGATGAAGGCCCAATTCCTGCACATACCGTGTTGAGCTGTGGCAGAAGGCCAAAACGGGCGTGCATGTCCAGCCGTTCTTGGATTCAGAGTCGTTGCCAGCAGGTAGCCTTGTGAAAGTGCACAGCGCAGCATCCTGTGGCAGCACATCCTTCAACGCCGCCACCATAGCATACTAAGCCTCAAACTGCTATCTAGCATCAACAGATATCACTGGCCTGTGGCCCGGTGCGAGCCTCAGATATGGAAGGCTCCGCCAGTGTCGTCGCAGGTGGTCTTTGATAGCGTTGCAGCGGCCCGTGCTTCTCAGGTCAACTGGCACGACAATGATGTCCGACGACATGAACGAAGACTTCCAAAGCACAGACCATTCGATTCGCGACTCCGACCAGGTGGACCGCGAGGACGGGTTCGATGACTGGGACTGGGTCGGACAGGAGATGCAGCGTGAGGCCGAGGAAGATGCACGTGGGGGAGCAGCATGGGACAAAGAAATGGACATCCAGAATGCATACAACAAACGTCTGGCGAACATGACGGTGAAGTACATGAATATGAAGGGTGATGAGGTTCACGCCTCAAGGCCCTACCCGTGCTGCCAGCTTGAATGCGGCTCGTTCCGTGAAGCTTGGCTGACCACTTTACACGACGGAAACAACCCGGATCGATTTCTCTCTCTGTGCCAGCTACGTGAAAGACGGCAGAAGACCAACAAGCCTTTGCCTCCAGAAATACTACAGTATCGCAGCCCCAGAGAAGTCCTGCTTCACGACCTGGACAGCAGTCGCATTGGACCGATTTGCCTGGATGCCACAAAACTGGCGTTGGGCGGGGATGTGATCACGGATGCCTGGAGTTGGGATGAGCTCTTGGATCGCAGCTTGAGCGATAGCACCGTGCACGTGCACGTGGTCTTCAATTCCGAGCAGTCCAACGGCCGACAGTCCTAGAGCTCCAAATCTGAGCCGCGCGGAGAGAGAATACGAAATGTGCCCCAGGACTGCAGCAAAATGAAAGGGTCAGAGCCACCTGAACCTGAACATGGTCTTATTGAGCTTCTGCACGTTGTGCAAGGTTGCTGCAGCCAGGTGAAAAGGTCAGAGCCGCCCGAACATTACTTTCTTGAGCATGTTGTGCAAAATTGAATTCCTGCCTTACGCGTGCTGAGGCTTGGGCAACCCCGCAGCTTTTCGGCAGTCAGCCCCAGTTGAACTAAACCAATTCGGTAGACTCGTCCTCGTCATGGCCCCCTGCCAGCGATGCGGCTTTGGCATCAGAAGCGGCAGAGGCAGCGGATGGTAAGAACGGGCTGCAAAAGGAGCAGGCAGGCGAGGGCCCTTGCCCAACGAGGACAGCAAGAAAGCAGAACGGCGACAGTCGCATGAGGCAAGAGCCCGGGGCGAAGCAAAGAGGCACAGCCGCCACGCTTATCCTCAACCAGAATGGGGGCCAGGGGCAAGAGGCGCAGCCGCCACGCTTATCCTCAACCACAATAGGGGCCACGGGGTACAGCCGCCACGCTTATCCGGTGCCAGGCGAAGAGGTGCAGCCGCCACGCTTATCCTCAACCAGAATGGGGGCCAGGGGGAAGAGGCGCAGCCGCCACGCTTATCCTCAACCAGAATAGGGGCCAGGGCGTGCAGCCGCCACGCTTATCCGGTGCCAGGCGAAGAAGTGCAGCCGCCACGCTTATCCTCAACCAGAATGGGGGCCAGGGGGGAAGAGGCGCAGCCGCCACGCTTATCCTCAACCAGAATAGGGGCCAGGGGGTGCAGCCGCCACGCTTATCCGGTGCCAGGCGAAGAGGTGCAGCCGCCACGCTTATCCTCAACTAGAATGGGGGCCAGGGGGAAGAGGCGCAGCCGCCACGCTTATCCTCAACCAGAAAAAAGGGCCCCGCCACGGTTATCCTCAACCAGAATAAGGGCCAGGGGGTACAGCCGCCACGCTTATCCGGTGCCAAGCGACGAGGTGCAGCCGCCACGCTTATCCTCAACCACAATGCTTATCCTCAACCAGAATAGAGGCCAGGGGATACAGCCGCCACGCTTATCCGGTGCCAGGCGAAGAGGTGCAGCCGCCACGCTTATCCTCAACCAGAATGGCGGCCAGGGGGAAGAGGCGCAGCCGCCACGCTTATCCTCAACCAGAATAGGGGCCAGGGGGTACAGCCGCCACGCTTATCCGGTGCCAGGCGAAGAGGTGCAGCCGCCACGCTTATCCTCAACCAGAATGGGGGCCAGGGGGAAGAGGCGCAGCCGCCACGCTTATCCTCAACCAGAATATAGGGGCCAGGGGGTACAGCCGCCACGCTTATCCGGTGCCAGGCGAAGAGGTGCAGCCGCCACGCTTATCCTCAACCAGAATGGGGGCCAGGGGAAGAGGCGCAGCCGCCACGCTTATCCTCAACCAGAATAGGGGCCAGGGGGTACAGCCGCCACGCTTATCCGGTGCCAGGCGAAGACGCATCCTCAACGCTTATCCTTCAACCAGAATAGGGGCCAGGGGGTGCAGCCGCCACGCTTATCCGGTGCCAGGCGAAGAGGTGCAGCCGCCACGCTTATCCTCAACCAGAATGGGGGCAGGGGGAAGAGGATAGGGGCCAGGGGGTACAGCCGCCACGCTTATCCGGTGCCAGGCGAAGAGGTGCAGCCGCCACGCTTATCCTCAACCATGCAGAATGGGGGTCAGGGGGAAGAGGCGCAGCCGCCACGCTTATCCTCAACCAGAATAGGGGCCAGGGGGTGCAGCCGCCACGCTTATCCGGTGCCAGGCGAAGAGGTGCAGCCGCCACGCTTATCCTCAACCAGAATGGGGGCCAGGGGGAAGAGGCGCAGCCGCCACGCTTATGCTCAACCAGAGGTGCGTGGTCTCCACTCCAAGAAGATCGGCTTATCCTCAACTAATATGGGGTCCTAGGTGCGTGGTCTCAACTCGAAAAGGATGGAGGCGGGGACCAGGCCGGAGTGCTTATCCTCAACTAATATGTCCCAGGTGGGTGGTCTCAACTCGAAAAGGATGGAGGCGAGGACCAGGCCGGGGCGAGCATCCTCAACCATTTTGGGGTCCCAGGTGCCTGGTCTCCACTCCAAGAAGACCGGGGCGGGGACGAGGCCGGAGCGCTTAACCTCAACCAATATGGGGTCCCAGGCGCGTGGTCTCCACTCGAAGAGGACGGAGGCCGGGACAAGGTCGGAGCACTTATCCTCAACTAAGAGGGGTCCCAGGTCCGTGGTGTCAACTCGAAAAGGATGGAGGCGGGGACAAGGCCGGAGTGCTTATCCTCAACCAATACGGGGTCCCAAGTGCGTGGTCTCCATTGCAAGAGACCAAGGCGGGGACGAGGTCGGAGCGCTTATCCTCAACCAATGTGGGGTCCCAGGTGCGTTATCCTCAATTAATATGGGGTTGCCGGTGGAGCGCTTATCCTCAACCAATATTGGGTCCCAGGTGCGCGGTGTCAACCTGAAGAAGACGGAGGCGGGTACAAGGCCGCAGCGCTTATCCTCAACCAATACGGGGTCCCAGGTGCGTGGTCTCAATCTGAAGAAGACGGAGGCGGGGACAAGGCCGGAGCGTTTATCCTCAACCATCATGGCGTTCCAGGTGTGTTATCCTCAAGCAATATGGGGTCCACGGTGCGTGGTCTCAACCTGAAGAAGACGGAGGCGGGGACAAGGCCGGAGCGCTTATCCTCAACCAATATGGGGTCCCAGGTGCGTGGTTTCAACCTGAAGAAGATGGAGGCGGGGACAAGGCCGGAGCGTTTAGCCTCGACCAATATGGGGTCCCAGGTGCGTTATCCTCAACCAATATGGGTCCCCGGTGCGTGGTGTCAACCTGAAGAAGACGGAGGCAGGGACAAGGCCGGAGCGCTTATCCTCAACCAATATGGGGTCCCAGGGGCGTGGTCTCAACCTGAAGAAGACAGAGGCGGGGACAAGGCCGGAGCGCTTATCCTCAACCAATATGGGGTCCCAGGTGCGTTATCCTCAACCATTATGGGGTCCCCAGTTCGTGGTGTCAACTTGAAGAAGACAGAGCCAGGGACAAGGCCGGAGGTCAACCAAAGTGCATGGTCTCAACCTGAAGAAGACGGAGGCGGGGACAGGCCAGAGCGCTTATCCTCAACCAATATGGGGTCCCCGGTGCGTGGTGTGAACCTGAAGAAGACGGAGGCAGGGACAAGGCCGGGACGCTTATCCTCAGCCAATATGCGGTCCCAGGTGCGTTATATCCTCAACCAATATGCGTGGTGTCAACCTGGGAAGAAGACGGAGGCGGGGACAAGGCCGGAGCGCTTATCCTCAACCAGTCTGGGGTCCCAGGTGCGTTATCCTCAACCAACATGGGTTCCCAGGTGCGTGGTCTCAACCTGAAGAAGACGGAGGCGCATGCAGAAGTGGTTGCTTATCCTCAACCAATATGGTCTCCCAGGTGCTTATACTCAACCTGAAAAAAATCGAAGGCAAGGGACAAGGCCGGAGGGCTCGCATGGAGAGGTGGTGCGCTTATCCTCAACCAATATGGGGCACCAGGTGCTTATCTTCAACCTGAAGAGCGAACGCAAAATATGCCCCAGCACTGCAGCAAGGTGAAAGGGTCAGAACTGCCTGAACATGGTCTTATTGAGCTTCTGCATGTTGTGCAAGGTTGCTGCAGCCAGGTGAAAGGGTCAGAGCTGCGAACGTTGCTCTCTTGATTTCGCATGGTGCAAGATTGAACTCCTGTCTTGCGCTTGCTGAGGCATGGGCCACCCCGCAGTTTTTCAGCAATCAGCCACAGTTGAACTAAACCAATTCGGTAGACTCGTCCTCGTCATGGCCCCCTGCCAGCGATGCGGCTTTGGAATCAGATGCGGCAGAGGTCGGGGATGGTGCAGCAATCCACGCTGCCGAGAAGCAGAGATGGAAGAGCAGAATGCTACCAAGGCCCGCATTCAGCAGGAACGGGCTGCAAAAGGAGCTGGCAGCCGAGGACCTTTGCCCGACGAGGACAGCAAGAAAGCAGAGCGGCGACAGTCGCATGAGGCAAGAGCACAGGCAACGGAGGAAGGAACAGGCGGCCGAGGACCTTTGCCCGACGAAAACAGCAAAGAAGCACAGCGGCGACAGCTGCATGAAGCAAGAGCACACGCAACGGAGGAAGGAACAGGCGGCCGAGGACCTTTGCCCGACGAGAACAGCAAAGAAGCACAGCGGCGACAGCTGCATGAAGCAAGAGCACACGCAACGGAGGAAGGAGCCGGCGGCCGAGGTCCTTTGCCCGACGAGAACAGCAAAGAAGCACAGCGGCGACAGCTGCATGAGCAAGAGCACACGCAACGGACGAAGGAGCCGGCGGCCGAGGTCCTTTGCCCGACGAGAACAGCAAAAAGCAGACGGCGACAGCTGCATGAAGCAAGAGCACACGCAACGAAGGAGCCGGCGGCCGAGGTCCTTTGCCCGACGAGAACAGCAACAAAGCAGAACGGCGACAGCTGCATGAAGCAAGAGCACACGCAACAGAAGAAGGAGCCGGCGGCCGAGGTCCTTTGCCCATCGCCTCGGAGATTCAGCAACAAGGCTACCCTTTCCCGGACGAAGACTCTTTAACCCCGGAACAAGCACAGGCACAGTACTTGGCTTTTGCACGGAGCTGGAGTAGATTCGGCCTTTCCCGTGTGTGCGAGAAGTGCCAGACCTTGACACCAGCGAGGCACTGCAAGAGAGCCAGAAACACCGAGAGGCTACTGTGCAGAAACTGTCGCGAGAATCGCACAAAGATGGTCTTGCCAACGCCGGACCCCATCCCAGAAGCATTGCAACGACTGCGACCCATCGAGCAGCATCTCCTCGCCATGGCCCGCATCTCGCAGGTCCTGCTGGACAAGCTCCCATCAGGGGGCCCCAGCGCACAATGGGGCCGCATGTACGCCGTTCTCATGCAAGAACCCTTCATCTGCGGAGTCCTCGAAGGTGCAAGCTTGGAGGAAGACGGGACAGTGTTGGTCGAGGGCGTCGGCGGCATGACCGCATCCCCGGCACGCCTGGAGTGTCTCCACGCGGCCCTGCAAGCTTTGAGAGGTCATCACCGCCTTTATCAACAGTGCCCAGCTGTCGAGACAGCCCTGGCACGAATGGCTGCCATTCTGGCCGACAAAGCTCTCGCTGCCTCAGCCGCAAAACCAACAAACCCACCGCCAGCCGCACAAGGAGAAGAAGAAGAAGAAGAAGAAGTGGAAGTGACGTACCTATTGCCGAAACAATTCCAGGCTCCGAAGGCCGACGTCCACGACTTGCGAAAAGCTCGAGGATCTGCAGACCTCAGCGACGACTTGGATGCGAAGTTCTTCCCGCACCTGTTTCCCTCCGGCTTTGGAGGCTGGCAGAACGAAAACGGTGGCTTCGCCCAATATGCACGGAGGCGTCTGCTGAGCGCGGATGGCCGCTTTGAAGGATCCACGGGCTACATCATGTGGCTCCTAGAGATGAAGACCAAGAAGCGCCTCTCCGGAAATATCAACGTCCGCATCAGCAACCAACGGACACCCGGCAGCAAGAGTGAATACGAGAACGGCAGCCGTCGGGTATATGCAGCCTTGCGGGACATTCCTGGCACGCAGCCCTACCTGTACGCCAAGAAAGGGGTGGCCCTGAACATGTATGAGCAGCTTGGCATTCCCAGCTTCTTCATGACACTCTCCTGCCACGCGCGGCAACCTGCCATGCTCCTCGCGGCTATCTCCGGGCGGCTGCTGCGGCTGCATCCCGAACGGCCGCAAGGAGAGTTGGAGCACCACGCTGCCGAGATCCTGCACCTCTACCAGAACGACAAGAACTTCAAGTGGGATGGGCTTTCGCCCAACCAGCTGTGCAACCAGCAGCCGGCGGTGGTAGCCCGACAGTTCATGCACCAGCTGTCCCAGCTGATGTGGTGGCTGCAGTCCGGCACACATGCACGAAAGTTCCATTTAGACGAAGACGGTGACCCGCAAGATGAGGTCAAAGAGAGCGACGGCGAGGACGCGGAAGACGATGCCCAGGCCCCGGCCCCGGACTCCGCAGGCCTGCACCACCGCATGCGCAAGCAAAGGCCGCCTTTCAAAGTTTTGGATTACATCATTCGCATAGAATGGCAAAAGAGGGGCTACCCCCACGCCCACATATTGCTTTGGATCGAAGAGTGGGCGAAAGCCAAGAAGCAGTCAGATGAGCCGGCGCCCGACAACGGCGAGGCCACGGTCCCAGACTGGTCGGACGAGGAAGCCATGGAGAGTTTCATTCCCAAGTCTGCGGAAGATCTCAGCGACAAGCACATCACCACCAAGTCTCCGAACTCGTGGCGCCAATCCCAGCGTGTAGCAGCCCGAGATAGAGAGGTGAACGCAAAGCTCGCCGCAGAAGTGGTGCACAACCACACGCCATATTGCGGCATGTACACACAAGGCAGCTGTCGATCTGGGTTTCCACACGACCCGGAGCCGCGGACCCGACGGCGAACGTCTCAGGAGCAGTACGCCAAAAGCCGCTGGAAAAGCAGCCTTGCCGTGAGAAGAGTCAAGGGGGACAGCATGATGGGCCAGTACAACATACGAATACTGAGGAGGTGGAGGGCAAGCATGGACTTGCAGGTCATTTGCGAACTCACAAGCGCCAGCCGCTACATATTGGGCTACACTTTCAAATCGGAGGAGGATCGCGACGCGCAGCGTCGCATGGAGAACATCCTGGCCGACCTGACGTCCAGCGCTGCGGGCGAGGGCCTGGACAATCAGAAGGTCTACAAAGCAGCGCACGCAGCGTTGCAGGGCAGGACCACTTCCACCTTCGAGGCATGCCACCTGCTACTGGGTTACCCGATCATCGAATTCTCCAGAGACAACGTTTGGGTGCAAGTAGGACCTCCGGACACCTGGACCGTGTGGGTGCCAAAGCACGAGGAAAAGGTGGCCTTGAAGCAGCCTGACCAGTACCACAACAAGAAGGTCCACCGAAGCGGGGACCTGCCTGCCGCTCATCACTGGTACCGTGAAATGCAGACGAGATTCGGCGACCAAGACACAGCCTTGCCGGTGGAAGGTGGCGAACCGATTTCCTGTCGGTTCATGGACGTCACCTTCCTGGACTTTTGTGCGGCTTTCAAGTTCATAGGCGTCCAAGAGCCACAACCTCGCAAGAAGCCTGCGATCGTTGGCTACCAGAACTTCAACCCGGACGAGGAGTCGGAAGCCTTCTACTACTCCAAGTTGCTGCTGCATCTAGTCTGGAAGGAGCCAGGCGATTGGCTGCTGGAGCAAGACGCGGGAAGCCACGCAGCAGCATTCCATCGCGTCGCTCGAGACGTGAACGGCCACCCGGATTTCCTTCGGTCCAAATGTTTCCCTCAGCTGGATGGGACAGTGAACGCCGCTCGACAGCTGCAGGCCGTGCAGGCCACAATGTATATGAAGGCACATGCATCGGCACATTGTCGGGACGGATGGTTCAACAGCAAGATCGCCGAAGAGAATTACAAAGACTCCTTGCAAGTTTTGGAGGCACTGAGAGAGCGGCATGGAGAAGATATCGACTTCCTTGCCCCAGACACCGTGGCCACGGGGCCTGCAAGCAACGCCTTCGCGCCGGTTGAAGAAGGCGAGGAATCCTTCCAGAAGCTGACGATCGAGAACCCCAGTCCAGAGACCATGCGCCAGAAAGAAGCGATGAACTACATCATCAGCACGATCCTGAAGCCCCCCGATGCAAAGGACGGCCAGACTAGCCAGCGCCTTCACATGCTTCTTCACGGGCCGGGAGGCTGCGGAAAGTCCGTGGTGGTGCGTGCAGCAGCTCATGTCTTGCGGCAAAGCAAGAAGGGATGCATCATCGCGGCGCCCACAGGCGTGGCAGCCTTCAATATCAACGGCATCACCCTCCATCAGTGCTGTTTATTGCCGGTGGTCAACCAAAGCTATGGCAAGGCCTGCGACATGCCACAGCCGGACGGCCAGAAATTAGCCACTCTGAGGGAGATCTGGTCGAAGGTCACCGTACTGTTTGTCGACGAGATCAGCTTCGTCTCTTCGTGGATGCTGCAGCGCCTGGATCAACATCTGCGACTTGCAAAAGACATGCAGACCCTGCCCTTCGGAGGACTGCACGTCATCTTTGCTGGCGACCTGTACCAGTTACCTCCACCAAATGGGCTGCCCGTCTTCGAGAGCCAGCTTTGGCTGCTCTTCCAGCTCTGCGAGCTCGAAGGGAACCAGCGTGCTGCACGAGATCCTGCATGGGCCGCTCTGCTGGCACGGGTTCGAGTGGGGAAGTGCACCGAGGCCGACATTCAGGTGCTGCGGAGCATGGTGATCAAGAAAGGCAGCAGCAAGCGGCCTGCCCCCAAAGCCGTGAACTTGTACGCCACTCGACAAGCAGTCGCCGAAAGCAACCAGCGCTACAAAGAGGAGCATGTTTTACGGGAGCGTGTGCAGCTGCACGACTGCCCGGCAGTCGACACCAATGTGAAGACCGGCGCTTTACTGGCTCCAGAAGATGTCTGGGCCGAGCCTGAGAACACAGGTGGCTTGGTGAGCCTGCTGCAGGTGGCCGTCGGGCTGCGCGTCATGCTCAGGTACAACATCGACGTGCCCGATGGCTTGGTCAATGGCGCTTGCGGCATTGTGGAGCACATCGACACCGAGGCATGCGGCGGGGAGGTCGAGAAGATCTGGGTCTCTTTCGAAAAGAATGCCGGAGCCGTTTGGAGGAGAGAACATGGAACCCCTTCGGTTGCAATCTCGCGGCGGGCGGCCACTTTCCTGGACAAAGATGGTAAGAGGGCATCGCGGCGTCAGTTCCCCATCGTTCTCGCCAAAGCCATGACGATCCACAAAAGCCAGGCAGCCACCTGTCACGAAGGCATCCACGCCCGCCTCGACCACACCATCTTTGCAGAAGGTCAAGCCTACGTCGCCTTGAGCCGCTGCCCCGAACAAGCGCTCTGCAGCTTGGAGCATTTCAACCCCAAGGCACTGCGATTCAATGCCCAGGCAGAGTGGGCCTTGACCAAGCTGAAGGTGCAGCAAGCCGAACGTGACGGCCCGCCGATATGGAAAGCTTTGTTCATGCCACAGCAGACCAAGGATTTCTACGAGCGCCGCCTGGCTGAGTTGGGGAAGCCCAATTGGGCTCGTTTCGAGCCAGACTCGAACGAAGGCATCGACCGGCCCTGGTGTTGCCCGGACTGCGGAACGGAGACTCCAAACACCAAGCTCGCCATCAAGCAACACCGACAAAAGTGCCCAGCCAAACCCAAGCCCAAGTCCCAGCCGAAGAACAAGTCCAAGGCAAAGGCCTCAGCATCAAGCAAAGCAAAGGCCAAGATCAGGCCCGAGATGTCCAAGCTGGTGGGGACTAAGCGATACGCTGATGCTGGCAGCCGCTGCGACCTTGCGTCGAAGCGGGCAAAGACAGAGAGCCGCTCCAGCAGCGCACCATCCATGGCCGCCTGTTCAACTTCCACAACCAAGCCACCAAGGACCGACCTCCAAGATGCTTGCGCCGAGCCTGCCAGCACAGATACAAGCCGACGACATGAGACACAGGACTCGCCTGCCATTTATTTTGAATCCCAGGTGGAGCTGCGGTGCGGCATCCATGCTTTGAACCACGTCTTCGGTGCCCCATACTTTGACGTTGCAGCAATGGAGCATGCAGTCGCATCGTTTCTCGAGGAGAACTGGGAAGTCGGGGACGAGCAGCAAGCTCACATGGGGCCTGGCGGCGACTACTCCATCGAGGTGCTGATCATGGCCGTGCGGACGAGGTCCATGGAGCTCTTCGAGCGTCTATGCTGGCACATGGAAGATCGCCGAGCCCTGGAACCCGAAGACCTTCACAACTGCATCGGGGCGATTCAGAACCACGGCGGCCAGCACTGGACTGCATTGCGGCATTGGAACGGACGCATTTGGTGCCTAGATTCCCTTTGCCGGGCTCCACATGTGCTGTCGGACGTCGAGCTGGCAGCCTCAATCAGGCAGCACCCGACCTTTGCAATTCGCTTGATCTAAGATTGCAGCTAAGCATGCAGGTACAGTGTGCATACAGTGCGCAGCTTTTGTCACTTTCCAGCTGAGCCACAGGCCGCGAGCAATTGCACAGGCTCATAGCTAACGCATCGGCGATCACGGAAGGAAAAAGCTGCACGCGTCATTTATTGGGCAAATTTAGAACCTGGAAGACATAAGATAAAATTAGGAATACAAGTCGAACAGTTTCTGTACATGAACTACCTTCAGCCGAGACATTGCCAAATTGCATGCGTGCTCGGGTTGCTGTGCTGACCGCCCAGTGCTGCATGCCACAACACTGTGGCCCCACGTTTGGGCTCAGCTGCTGGCTGTCGCAGATAGCTGCCCATGTTATTCGGCTCTCCTGTATGCGTGGGCCTTACATGCTCCAAGTCTTCATGACAAGCATTAAACTGTGTGAGCATTGCCTTCCATCGCAAGAGCTGCGGAGGCTTCAGCAGCTCCAGATCAAGCTTGGCAGCACAGCCCCGCCCAGCCCACCCAGCCAGCCCAGTGCAGTTCAGCTACCAGCCCAACCCAGCCTACCAGCCCAACCCAGCCCAGCCAGTAAAGCCAGCCAAAAAGACGAAGCAAAAGTAAAACCGTCCTCCAAATCTCAGAAACCAAAATGCAAAAGGCAAAACCCACAACCCGGCAAAACCCCCCAAAACCCATCCCCAGGTCCAGCCCCGCCCCAGCCCCAGCCCCAACCCAGCAGCTAGCCCCAGCCCAGAAGCGCCCCCAGCCAGCCAGCCCCAGCCCAGCCAACCCATTTTTTTTTACAGCCCCCCAGCCCAGCCCAGCCCCCACCCAGCCCGCACCAGCCAGCTCGGACCCCAGTCCGCCACCCAAAATGAAAGTTTCAAGTCAAAAAACAAAACCCGCTCAGAAGTTTCGGTCAAAACGTTTCGGTCAAAACTGTCCCCGAAATCCCAGAAATTCAAAAGCAAAACCCAAAACCCGGCAAAACCCCCCAAAACCCCCCAAAACCCCCCAAAACCCCCCAAAACCCGGACCCAAACCCTATACAATTTCTATAAACCCTAAACCCTAAACCCTAAACCCTAAACCCTAAACCCAAAACCCAAAACCCTAAACCCTAAACCCTCAAGAGCAGGATAAATAGAAATTGTGTGTCTTTCGCTTCGAAATGGATTGCATCTTCGACTTTTTCGAATTTTCCTTAAACGTGTGCGCGGAAAGCCACACCCGCCCAGGCCAGTCCTGCCCAGCCTAACCCAGCCCAATTCAGCAGCTCCCAACCAGCCCCAGGTCCAGCCCCGCCCACAGCCCAGCAGCCAGCCCCAGCCCAGCAGCACGCCAGCCCCAGCCCAGCCAACCCACCCAGTCCCCCCAGCCCCCCAGCCCAACCCCAACCAGCCAGCTCGGACCCCAGCCCGCCACCCAAAATGAAAGTTTCAAGTCAAAAAACAAAACCTGCTCAGAACTTTCAGTCAAAACGTTTCGGTCAAAACTGTCCCCCAAATCCCAGAAACCAAAATTCAAAAGCAAAACCCGAAACCCGGCAAAACCCCCCAAAACTCCGGACCCAAACCCTATACAATGTCTATCCAACACAGCCCAGCCAGTAAAGCCAGCCAAAAAGGCACAGCAAAAACAAAACCGTCCTCCAAATCCCAGAAACCAAAATGCAAAAGCAAAACCCAAAACCCGGCAAAACCCCCCAAAACCCGGCAAAACTCCGGACCCAAACCCTATACAATTAAACCATAAACCCTAAACCCTAAACCCTCAAGAGCAGGATAAATAGAAATTGTGTGACTTTCGTTTCGAACTGCATTTGCATTATTTTCAAATTTTCATTAATCGTGTCCAACCCAATTCCAGCCCAGCCCGCCACTCCCAAAATGAAAGCTTCAAGCCAAAAAACGAAACCCGCCCAAAACTTTCGCTCAAAACTTTCGCCCAAAACTTTCGTCCATCGCAAGAGCTGCGGAGGCTTGAGCAGCTCCAGATCAAGCTTGGCAGCACAGCCCCGCCCAGCCCACCCAGCCAGCCAGCGCAGTTCAGCTACCAGCCGGATCCAACCCAACCCAGCCCAGCCAGTCAAGCCAGCCAACAAGCGAAGCAAAAACAAAACCGTCCCCCAAATCCCAGAAACCAAAATGCAAAAGCAAAACCCAAAACCCGGCAAAACCCCCCAAAACCCGGCAAAACTCCGGACCCAAACCCTATATCCCTAAACCCTAAACCCTAAACCCTAAACCCTAAACCCTAAACCCTAAACCCTAAACCCTAAACCCTAAACCCTAAACCCTAAACCCCCTAAACCCTAAATTTCTTTATCACATAGTAATTTAAACCTTAATGTTTCAGGCCCAAATTTGGGCCCAAACTTCGTGGACCAGGCCCAAATTTGGGCCCAAACTTCGTGGACCAGGCCTAAATTTCTTTATCAAATCAATCAACCATTGACTCTCAATAGGGTAATTTAACACAAACCTTATGTTTGGCCCCAAATCTTTGGGCCCAAACTTCGTGGACCAGCCCAATTTGGGCCCAAACTCGTGGACCAGGGCCCGAATTTGGGCCCAAACTTCGTGGACCCTGCCCAAATTTGGGCCAAACTTCGGGGACCCGGCCCAAATTTGGCCCAAACTTTCAGTGTTACCAGGCCCAAATTTGGGCCCAAACTTCGTGGACCAGGCCCAAATTTGGGCCCAAACTTCGTGGACCAGGCCCAAAATCCAATTTCTTTATCACATAGTAATTTAAACCTTAATGTTTCAGGCCCAAATTTGGGCCCAAACTTCGTGGACCAGGCCCAAATTTGGGCCCAAACTTCGTGGACCAGGCCCAAATTTGGGCCCAAACTTCGTGGACCAGGCCCAAATTTGGGCCCAAACTTCGTGGACCAGGCCCAAAATCCACGAATCCAGGCCCAAAATCCACGAATCCAGGCCCAAAATCCACGAATCCAGGCCCAAACCCAGGATCCACCAATCCAGGCCCAAAATCCACGAATCCAGGCCCAAAATCCACGAATCCTGCCGGGCAGAGCTTTGAAGGATCTAGGGTGGGTTGGGGAGTTGCACTGGACAAAGCTTGGAAGCATCCAAAGGGTGGCTTGTGGGAAGTTGCATTCGCACACCCTTCCTGCGGTAAAGGGTCTTCAAGGGGAGCCGCGGGAGGGCCATAGATGGACAGGGTAGGTCAAACTATGTCCGCAAACCCACTTTTGAGCCCACCTGAAGGCTTACAGTATCCCCATGAACTGTGTCAGATTGATTCTGCATTCTGCGACCCTTCATGCGGAAACTGGTGTTCAAGGGGAGCCGCGGGAGGGCCATAGATGGACAGGGGAGGTCAAACTATGTCCGCAAACCCACTCCCGAGCTTACCCTTTTGATTGCAGGGTCCGCGTGAATTGTTGTAGGGTTGATTCTGCGTTGGCCCCGCGGGCCCTTTGAAACACCAAATTTTTGGTTTGAAAGGGTATCTTCGGGAAGGGCGCAAACAGACAGAGGAGCTCAAATGACGTAGGCTCGTCCGGTCGAGGGCCCGCAGGGTGTGACACAGTGCTCCGCTGAAGGGTGTCGCCTTGATTCTGCGAAGGGCGTCGTTTTGATTCTGCGTGGTTGTGGCTTGGATGGCTGTGACTTCGTTTCGGAACGTATGTAAGCCGTCGAAGAACTTCAAATGATGTAGAGTTCTTTAGTTGACGTCGATTAAGAAGCGATATGGATCGATGTTGTACACATGTCATGATGTGTAGCACAAGAAGCTTCTTTGTCGTCGAAAGCAGTCATCGTGGAAACCTTTGAAAATTCTTGCAATTTTCAAAAAAAAAGCGTTTTGCGACATGCCGCAGACGAGCCTGGCGACATGTAAGCAGCGGCCTGGACGGCCCATGGCCGAGGCCTGCCTCTGACCCCCTGGCAGGCCTCGGCCATGGCTTCGGCCTCTGACCCCCCAACAACGCGCGCGCGCGCGCGCGCGAAAAGGTCTTTGGAGGCCTGGCGGTGAAGGGTTTCAGCTGAACGGTCATCGCAAAGAAACTTGATATGATAGCGGTGGTTGCTATCGTAAAACGATGGCGTGACCGCAGCTATTGTGGGAGGCAATGTTGTCAGGCAGTGGACACAGTCCGATGTGGAAACATTGAAATCGAATTCGATAGCTGTTCTAGGTGAGGAGATTCGAGTCATGACACTTGACAGCTATGGTTGCTATCGTAAAGCGATGGCGTGACCGCAGCTTCGGCGGGTTAGGGCGATCTTGTGTTTCTTAACTAGCTCTCTTAGAAAGCTGGATAGCTGTGTTTGCTAGTTGAGGAGATTCAAGTCATGACACTTGACAGCTATGGTTGCTATCGTAAAGCGATGGCGTGACCGCAGCTTCGGCGGGTTAGGGCGATGTTGCGTTTCTTAACTAGCTCTCTTAGAAAGCTGGTCGGCAGCATTAACTCTTAAAGTGAAGCGTGTTGCAAGAACGACTGTAAAGAAACAGCACTTGCTTGATCGAAGGAGTGGAAAGTTACGATCTGTAATAGTTGTATGTAAGGTTTAGGGTTTAGAATTCAGCAGCACTCTAATCTTTCAGCTGGTTGTGTTGACACCATAAGCAAACTAGGATTTAGCGACAACAGCAACTGGAAGCGTCTGAAGAGAATGTCGACGGAGACCGAACAACAACATTCTCGTGCTGGCCTTCAACCAAGCAGTAGTTGAGTTTAGGGCCTAGGGTTTGACTATAACATCATAGTCATAGAGGTGTGTGAAGCTAAGTTGTAGGTAGGTGTTTCGAAGGATGAAAAAAAAAACCCTCTATTTTCTTAATGTTATGGGATTCTGAGGGTGGGTGGGTGTTATTCTTAAACCATAGACACAACACTACTTTAAAACTGCTCGACCCGGAGCTGCTGAACCCTAAACCCTAAACCCTAAACCCTAAACCCTAAACCCTAAACCCCTAAACCCTAAACCCTAAACCCTCAAGAGCAGGATAAATAGAAATTGTGTGTCTTTCGCTTCGAAATGGATTGCATCTTCGACTTTTTCGAATTTTCCTTAAACGTGTGCGCGGAAAGCCACACCCGCCCAGGCCAGTCCTGCCCAGCCTAACCCAGCCCAATTCAGCAGC